TGTGTGTGTGTACAAATATTCATTAAATTAAAATATTTTGAATTAATAAAATAAATAAATACACCTGTCAACCAAAAGGGAAAGAATAATTCGTGTCCAAGTTATATCAACTCCTGGGAAACTATTTCTTGTTCTCTTAAAATTTAAGTGAAAAATAAAAAAATCCATTTTTGTGTCAAATTATAAAAACCCAATACGATATTATTTGTTTGGACAAAAATACCCTTGCRTATTTTCTTCATGTAAAGTAGTTTGAATACTTTTGTGTCACTAAGGGCTGTTTACCAAACGATTACTCAGATAAGTGAACATCAAGTTACATTACCTTACCAAATGAATATGGTAAGAACCAAAAATTTTACCCGGTAAGAACGAGACAAAGACCAAGAGTCTTACCCGATAAGTGATGACGACGACTCTTACCATGGTAAGCGCTTACCAGGTAAATTATTGTGTATGATACCGTTTTGGTGGACTAAAATCATATCCGGTAAGTAAATGATAGTGTTAAATTTATCGGTAAGCGCTTTTCGGTAAGTGTTTGGTAAACGGCCCTTAAAATTATATTGATTTTGAAATTGAAAATCAGTTGGCTTGTCGAAAAGCAGTTGGCTTGTTGAATCAATGTCGTTAGCCATCGCAATTATGGATGGAGGTTTATGTTAAAAAACAAGATTCATCCTGGATAACGAGAAAACGGATATGGATAGAAATTAGATCATGATGGAGCAAATCCTTCATGTTTATGTCGTTTAATCACATATACATATTTAAACACCATTTTTGTGTAAAACACAGATACCCGACTTCTTATTTATCTATCATGCTGATAAACAAGTAAAACATGTAATACATAACATTATATGTAAACCACAAGGAAGGTGGCTAATTGGTTTGAATTTGGCTCCAAATGTGAAAAGTACCTGGAGGTCTTAGGTTCAAATCCAAGGAGGAATAAAAATCCCCTTGTGGTAACGGATAGGGGTGCTCAAAAACCCGATGAACCCGATGAACCCGACCAACC